TGGGGTGATGCTGAGCTGCTGGGCACCGGTGCCCGAGGAGAGGCCATCCTTCACGGGGCTGGTGGGCGAGCTGGAGCGTGTCCTGGCCCTGCTGGAGGGCGAGCACTATGTCAACCTGGCCGTCACCTACGTCAACCTGGAGCGCGGCCCCCCTTTTCCCCCCGCCCCCCCGGGGCAGCTGCCCGACGGCGCGGGTGAGGACCAGAGGAAGGGGAGGAGGAGGAAGAGGAGGAGGAGGATACGGCCGTGTGCTGATGGGGTGCCCTGCACTGTGGGGGCTCCCAGACCCCTGTACACTGAGGGCGTGCTCCCCCTAGGAGGGACGCGCAGCACAGCTGGGTGCTATGTGGCACCCTCCCTATGGGATGGGTGCTGGGAGGGGGCTGGGTGCTGTGGGGTGCTCTCCCACGGCTCACACCCAGACCCTGCTGGGTGCTCTCCAGGCTTGGTCCCATGCTGGCGGGGTGCCGTGGGGCTCAGTCCTGCGCTGGCTGGGTGCTGGGGCGCTCAGCCCCACACCAGTGAGGCTGTGCCGTGGGGCCCGGGGCTCAGCCCCACAGCGGCGAGGCTGTGCTGTGGGGCCCCGGCTCAGCCCCAGCGGGTGCCGTGGGCTGGCTTGACCCACCCAGGGGTCCCGTGGGGTTTCCAACCCCTTGGCTGCTCGAATCGCTCATTAAAACCTAATTATATTTTTTCCCAGACTGGGGCTGTGTCTTTGCGGGGGCCCGTGCCCCACGTTGGCAGCACCCCTGTCCCACTGCATGGAGGGGACTCCCCACCCCGGGTCCCTAACCCCCCCGGGAGCACCCACCTCGCAGGGGGCACGGGTGAGGGTGCACCCACTCTTCCCCGGCCCAGCCACGGGAGGGCACCTGCACACCGGTGCTGGCGTGGCCACCCCAGGCACCGTCCCCCGCTGCCTGCCACGCCGGGGCCACCCTATGCGCCCTGGGTCCCGCCACGGTCCCCTGCGCTCGGGGGGGACCCAGGCATCCGGGAGGTGATGCTGACATCAAGAAGAAGGATCTTCCTAAAAATCCCCCTCCCACCTTCTTCAGCTGCAGCTAAATATAGCCCTGGCAGCTCCGCCGGCAGCTCTGCCAGCCGGGTGGGCTTGAGGCTCCCGCCTGGCTGCGCAGCTACGGTGGGCCGTGGGGTGCGAGACGGCGTGGGGAGCGCCATGCTCTTGGGCAGGGGGTGATGGTGCCCCTGGGATCCCGCTGCCCGGGTTGTGGGTCACGGTGCCCCTGGGATCACAGGATGATGGGTGCCCAGGTCATGGGATCGCGGCGGTCCTGGGATCACAACGCTCCTGGGATGATGGGTGCCTGGGCATGGGATCAGGGTGCCCTTGGGATCATGGGTACCTGGGCACGGGATCACAGTGCCGCTGGTGTCACGGAGCCCAGGGCATGGGATTCCAGTGTCCCTGGCATCAAGGTGCCCCTGGGATCACGGTGCCCAGGCTGTGGGATCACGGTGGTGGACTCAGCGGTGCCCAGCCTGCAGTACCCCCCGGCACTGCCTGCTTTCGGACACCGCTGCCCACTCTGCCCACCTGCATGGGACCCTGGTGGGGGACACCAGACCGGGCTTCGGGCTGACGTGGTGACCAAACATTGTTACCAGCCTCACTTAATTACACCCTAATTGCTTCAGCTGCTGCCTGTGCAGGGGACGGTGCAGCTCGTGCCCTGGGACATGCCCGGAGGCTGGCATTGGGGCTGCCCAGGAGCTGGGGAGAGCGGCTGAGCCCCCCACTGATGCTCACCGCTGCACGAGCCGGCTTTCTCCGCTCCTTTTGCTGGCAGTGGTGGCAGATGTCACATCTGTGAGGAGCTTGTCCCGACAAGGAGGTCCCCTCCGCCCCAATTTCGAGGCAAAAATCCCCTAGAATAAGACACTGGGAAAGAGGAGAGGACCGGTGATGAGCATCGCCCCCCTGGGTGCACGTCCAGAGCTCAGGGCAGGGGGGGAGGGCAGGATTTGGGGCCGGGTGAGGCAGCTCCGTTCCCCGGTCCGTGGCCGGCCATGCAGGTCTTGCAACTAGAGTGCCAGCTAAATAAAACCTCCCCCGCTGCTCATTAAGCAGCGCTGGAGCCCGGGGCCTCGTCAGCTCCCCTCAGCGA